ATAAATTGAATTTTGGGAAACTTTAACGGTGCTGCCAACTTTGGAAAAAGTCATCCCAATTTACTGTGTTGACTTGGCATTGTACAGAAATGGACAACCATATTGGTCCAGAAATGTTAATTTACTTTTATTTTCTCCCTGTGTACAGGGGTAACAAATCGTACTAAATATGTAAGGTCATATCTACGTGGGTTTGATTACAGAAACTAATAAAGTATTCTCTAAATAATGAAAAAAGAATAAGATAGGACTATAAGAGGGAGAAACAATTTAAATATGTTCAGGGACCATTTTCATCTCCAGAATTAAGGATTATTTTGATGTTACATCATTGCCTTTTCTCCTTTACTCTCCTTTTTAGTTTTATTTTAGGATTCCCTATTTTTAATGTTTATACAGAGATTTTTTTAACTGAAATACCGAATAGTTTCTTTGGTGTGAAAAACTATAACAGTACACAGGATCCTAATGAGACAATTAATAATGTGAAATAGGAAGTAAAGGGCTAAAGGTGTAAGGAAAGTGGGAAGGGTGGGGGAAAGGTAATAAGAGAGAGGAAAAAAATATGAGAAACTGAAAAAATGGAAATAAAGTGTTTGTAAATGGGGAGGGGAGGCGGGGGTGAAGGGAGGGCAGGGAAAAGGGGAAAAATCAGAATTAAGACCTATTATGTGAAGGTACAAAATCCCAATGATGAATGTAACTGTATTGTATACCTAGATTGTACCAATAAACTCAATAAAAAAGAAAGAAAAAAAAAAAGGACTAAGTGATAAAATTATCAAAAAACAGTAATTGGCCAGGTGTAGTGGCACAAGCCTATAATCCAAGCAGTGGGATGCTGATGCAGGAAGATCACCACAAGTTCCAGGCCAGCCTGGCTGCATAGTGAGTTCAATTACATACTACTGAACTACATATTGAGACCCTGTCTCAAAAAACAGAAACAAACAAGCCAGGCATGGTGGTGCATGTGGTGGTGCATGACTGTAATCCCAGCTCTCAGGAGGCTGAGTCAGAGGATCACTGTGAATTCAAGACCAGCCTGGGCTATATAGTGAGTTCCAGGTTAGTCTCTACATAGTGAGACCCTGTCTAAAAAAATCAAAACAACCAGGCGTGATGGTGCACACCTGTAATCCCAGCACTGTGGAGGCTGAGGCAGGAGGATCGCTGTGAGTTCGAGACCAGCCTGGGCTATATAGTGAGTTCCAGGTCAGTCTCAACTACATAGTGAGACCCTGTCTCAAAAAACAAAACAAAACAAAACAAAAAAATAAATAAATAAAAACAAAAAACCCAAGTAATTAACCTGTACACAGATTACACTTTACAGTTTAAGAACTATACTCACATAACATTATTATATTTTAGAGAATTAACAATTTATCACAAGAAGAATTAATCTACTTTTTAGGGTTTTTTGGTGTTTATGAAAACTTCTTATAAAAATTAATTTAAAATTTCAAAACAAGTAAGATAACTTGTAAAAAGAGATAACAGTTTTGATTTTGAGAAATTAAACTAATTAAACTAAATATAAAAATCTTGACACATTACTCTCAAAACAAACTACAAAGACTACTTACTGCCATTGTTTGTCTTGTCAATTTAACCAACACTGTAACTAGGGATCCTACTGTGATATTATTGCTGTCTTCATCATCCAGTACTGTAAGATGAAAGGAAAATCAATAAAGAAATATAGTTCCACATGAATGCAAAGATCAAAACATAAGTTATCCAAATCAATGTTATTTTAAGCATATCATATTTTAAATTTATTAAAAATAATAAACGGACTGTGTTAAATTCTCTCATTGGGTTACTCCAATAACTGAATGATTTAATCCTTAAACTAACTCTACAAAGTATCACCATCACTTCCATTTAAAGAAAAAGCTATGGTTCAGAAATACAGTAAAATGCCCACTCAGAAGAACCTGGCATTGCCAAGTTTCGAACCCAAGTCTTCCAAAACACAATGTAACATGAGAACTGCCATGACACAGCTCTGCCTCACAGCAATATAAAAATGGGGCTCTGGCAGTTTATGTAGAGCATATATTCAAAAGATTTTTACCTGAATGATCAAACCTGATAGAATAAAATAAGGAAAACTAATATTGTAAAAATCATCTTAAAAGAGTATTTTTTAAAGAACTTTCAATATATCCTCTTTACATTAAAAAACACTTTTGAATCATTTTTGCAACAAATAATATTAAGCACAATAAATTTTTATAATTACTTTTTTAAAACCACATTTGCATTCATAAAAGTTTAGTGAAAGTTAAGGTTAACTTAATAACATGTACCACACATGTTCTATTCAAATAGCACTCATGTTCTTCACTATGTGTTTTTGTCTAAAGTTTTTTTCTAAGTTTGCTATGCCTCAGATTTTTATTGGCACACTGTGTTCTAGCCTCTAATAAGCATCTGCTAATTCCACTAGTGGCTGCATTGCAAATGGTACAGTAATCCTTCACACTAGAAGTCTCCATTATCAAGAAATAAAACCTGGGCCACATAGCCCTCCACATTTTTCATTTTGCCAGGATATACATGCATAAGCAGTATATGTAAAATAGCTGTTGTCTAGAGGTCTACATATCATTTGATGGTTTAAAATGAAAAGGCCTACCATGACATTCTAGGCAAGAAGAGATCCATTGTCTCCAACACACAATTAAGCAATGTCTGTTCCCTGTTTCTATGAGCCTTCTATACTTTCTTCAAACTATACCATATATATTATATATATAGATAGCTATAGATAGCACTATAAAAATATAAACTATGTAAGACATTATGGAGTGGAACACGTGACATTTCCCAGTGAAACAGAACATTCTTACTTTTTTGTAAAAAATTTTTTTTAATCTCAACATTTATTTTTCTAAGAAGGATGTGCTTTTTACAAGCATGTCTAAGTCCCAAACTAGATTTTTATATGAACATTTTCTGGTTAAATCAGTGTAGTTCTAAACATAGCTTTCATATTGTTATTTTTAAAAATCTGAAAACTCATGAAGCCAAACGAAAACCCCAAATCCCTGCCAAATTGGGCCAGGTTTTTCTACAGGTATCTTATATTCTAGGAAAAATGATGTATCAGATTGTACTGTTTGATTTCTTGTCTCAAACACCCATCCTAGGTTGCCATTTACCTCTTCTCAGTTCCTATTAGGGTCCAAATTCAGTAAGTCAGAAATGGTCTTACCACCGCTTCTTCAGCACCCAGTAGTACACATGGCATTCAATATTTATTGCGTGAAAATAAGGCACAATGTCTGTGTCACTCACTTAACACTCGGCATATATTCTTGTTTTTACTCCTATTTCCTCAACGAAATGATAAGAGCTTTAAAGACAGAACCCAGTGCTAACACGTTCCTGTACTCTCGGTACCTAGAAGAATGTTCTCACAATAGTGAATTTGTGAATGCTCAGAACAATACCACAAACAGAATGACTGGAGCAGATTATCTGTAATTCTGTCAGTGTCCTAAGATATCATTTTGTACTATTAAGATGAGCACAGGGCCATTATGTAAACAGAAACTTAATCTGGAGTTTAAGAATTTGAAATAGACATAAAGATGGAGGGAATGTGAGAAAAACACAAGAAATAAGGCAGAAAACGTAATTTAAGGCTTAATACAAATAAGTTGGGAGCTTTAAAAATTCAGTACTTTTAATAATATATTTCAAATATTTCTTATTCTTTCATTACATCTAGAAGTCTCTTCCATTCTTTGAAAAGTTAAATTCTTGAATACTGAGCTACAGAAAAAAGTCCACATAGTTAATTCCACTGTGACAAAAATAAAAGTAGGGTTATATTAGTTTCCTCCAAAAGATTAAGTATGTAGTTATCATTTCCTATTGTAAATCTGACAGGAAAACTACAGTTTTACAAAGTCTATTTTAAGTTACGTTATTAAGTACTGTTCTGAGAGTCTTGAGTCAAATAGAGCCACCCTATCTAAAGGGAAGCAATGTTGGACAGGAAAACCTCCCACTTACCTTGTGATTTTATATCCATGGTTACATATGGAAAACTGCCAAGGACAGCCATAACCTCTTCATATTTTTCATCTTCAAGGAAGTGTAGCAGACTGTGACGATCTGGTTCTTTCAAACTCACCAAATCTTGTATAGTTTTAATTTTGTACTGAATAAGGAAAGAAAAATGTCCTCTTAACTCAAAACTTTCCAGAAAAGAACATTAGCATGTTGCCTAAAATAAAGTTCAGCAACTTTTAGAAAAATGTTAAGATTTATGCATTTCAAAGCAGAAAATTAAAATATACAGGATTTCATATCCTTTTTCAGGGTCATTTAAAGATTTTTTTATTATAAAGTCAATATAGGCTTATTTACTTTTAATTAGAAAAACAAAGAGCCAGGCACAGTGGCACATGCCTTTAATCTTAGCACTCTGGGAAGATGAGGCAGGAAGATCCTAAGTTAAAGCCCAGACTCAGTTACTGAGTGACTTATGGTAGAGTGATCCCATTTTAAAATAAGAATTGTTTTTGGTACCGGGGATCAAACTTGGGCCCTTGCACTTGCCAGGCAGGCGGCAGAACCACTAAGTCAAATCCCCAGCCCAAGAATTTTTTTTTTTAAAGTCTGGGGTTGTAGCTTAGTGCAAAGCCCCTGGGGGTTCAATTCCCAGGCTTGGGAAGGAAAGAAAAAGAAAAGATAACACCTAGCAAGAATTACTGCCTTCAATTTATTTTGAACTTTGATTAATAAGAACCTTTTATAATCTCCCAAGCTCAGCTGCACCACAAAGGTTTTATCATGCACTACTCTCATTTTTTTGTATTTTCTATATTCTTTTTTTGGTACTGGGGATTGAACTCAGGCCCTTGTGCTTGCGAGGCAGGCACTGGAACCATTGAGCTAAATCCCTAGCCTAATTTTTTTTTTTTTTTTGACACCAGGTATTGAACTCAAGACCTTGCACTTGAGAGGCAGCGGCAGAACCACTGAGCTAATTCCCCGGACCCCTGTATTTTCTAAATATGACTCTCATTGCAGTAACATCAACTTTGCCTAGCCAGTGATTTATCTCAGTGGTGCTGTTGCCTGCCTCGCAAGTGCAAGGTCCTGAGTTTGATCTCCAGTACCAAAAAAAAAAAACCCAGACTTTGTTTAAACAGTTGCTTATAAGAATGTTCTTGGGCTGGGGACTTAGCTCAGTGGTTCCGTCACCTGCCTGGTAAGCACAAGGACCTGAGTTCAATCCCCAGTACAAAAAAAAAAAAAAAAAAAAAGAACGTTCTTTAATTTTCAAGCATTTAGTTCTAGCTGTTTAATTTTTACTTTCAGAGAGATTATACCATAAAACAGGTGAGATTCCTGCTTTTCAATTCGGACGTTTTAATTATGACTTAACATATGACCAAACTGATAAGGGCAACAGAATTAATTATCTTTACCTGACATGTTTCTCTTGAATGCTTAAATTTTTTTCATAATAAACCAATAAACTACTACCCAATGTTTGAGTCAAGAATAAAATGATTGAAAAATATACAATGCATTTTTACTTGATGAATTTATTTTTGGTAACAGAAGGACCAAAGGATTAACCGCTAAAATGCCCTGACCCTCAAAATGCAGTAACATTACTTACAGTAGCAAAATATTATAAAACTATGACCCAATCAAGAAAATGTTAACAGAACCACTTGAGTGAGTTTTAGAATATTTGAGTCTAAATCTAAGAAATTCGTAGTAACCATCTTCATATTACCTTTAAGTAACAAACTGCTAAAAACTGACTTACAAGTTAGAAAGAATTACCTTTTTATGATTAGAAACTCTTCTAAGATTGTCCTCTTCGATGTGAGGGAGCTGTAGAAGGGGAGATTTAAACTGCTGAAGACCCTGAACAGCCATCTGCGAAAGCTTCATGCAGTTTTCTAAGGATGCCAAAGTTGGAGCACGAAACTCCCTTTCTTAGAAAGAATAGGAAAAAAGAAACAACAGGGCTGGACTTTTTACATGTTCTGGAGCAAACAATTCATCACAAAAACAAAATTAATTTGTTTGCAGTAGTATCTTTATCATCTCAAAATTTAAGATTACAGTGTTAATTTTCCTTTACAAGTTAATAGAGTCCACGTTAAAAATATGTAAAATTGGTTATAAGTACATTACCAGCAACATTAATATAAAATTCTTTGCATCGGTTCCAATAATAGTAAATTGTCAGACCTTTCAAATACACTGATTCTATGCCAAAAACTAATATCACTTATTATAACTAGTAAGTTATAACCACTGTTGCCTTTTCTAAGGTTCTCCCTTCCCGCTGCTAATCAAAATTCCAATTCTTTTCCTCTCATACAAAAAATTATACAAGTGAATCATCAATATATCAAAGAATTTTTTCAAACTCACTGTTACAGAATAAATTCCAAAAATATCCAGAGTAAGAAGAAAATGTTAAATTTTTGCAAAGCTAATAATAAAATGAAATAATGAGAAAAATCATAATGGGGAAAGCTAATTGAATTAGTAGACAGAATTACAAGTACCACAGATCTTAAAATATCAAGTACAAATTGCATATGCTTGCAAGTAAAGTAAAATAGACTTAATTACATTTCCTCCTCACCTTCACGGCTCCGGGCCATTATTATTAATTGGCAGATTACATTAACCATTTCTTGAAGTAGAGAAGGGCATTTTTTCAGCATAAATTGCTGATCTGCAAAACAATAAAAAATCTGAAACAAATCACTCTACTTTTATAGTTAAAACAACCCAAGATTAATAATAAATTTAAGTTAGTCTACAAATATTTCACATGACCTCAGAATTTTACAGATTGAAGGGAAAAATTTTTCCTTCAATCCACTATCAAAAGAATCAGTCAGAAAATTCTTGTTAAATGTGTGAAAGGCAGAATTTTAATGATGGCATTAATAAGTTTAATAAGTCAATTCCCTACATTTTTCTAAAAGATCTTAATCATAAACTTAATCATACTCTTGCTATTTTTGAGAACTTTTAGAATTTTTTTCTTATTCATGTAAGTTTCTATAATTACAGTAAGTTCCAAGACTAAGAATGAAAATATATGTCAACTAAACACAAAGAGAGGAGACAAGGAAGAGGAGGAAGAGGACAAGAGATAAGACACTGTATACAAAAGTTAACTGTGAAGACATCCACTGGCCTTGACTGACCCTAACAACATGTGTTCCCTGTTTGTAAAAGATGGTTGCCAAAAATAAAAATGGCTACATATCTGTTCAGAACATTAATTACTAATTAATATTTCAAAGCAATTCCAGTGACAATGCTTAAAAGTGCACCTTCATTCCGCTATAAGCATTTTTCCTATCATTGATTACTGAGCACCAAGTGGCTTGTGAAGCACTTAATTGATTTATTAGCTTAAAGGGAAGAGGAGGTAAGACTCCATTCAGAAAGATATTTACTTGCTAAGATAATAACATTCTTTTAAAACTTCAAGTGAAATAATACAGGTAAGGAAGAGACAACACTCAAATTAACGATATCCTAGAAACACTCTTGTCCAAATCCACTGCTTTTGTTTTAAACAGAATAGATGGCTTCAAGCTTTAAATGAAGATCAGAGGGCCAGGGACTTAGCTCAGTGGTTCCACTGCGTGCCTCACAAGTGCAAGGTCCCGAGTTCAATCCCAGGTACCAAAAATTTAAAAAAACGAAAGAAATAAAGATCAGATACTATTGGTAACTGTATAGGAGGGAAGGAATAAATGGTGGGGAAGGAGTTTAGTGGAGAAACCTGTTGTGAAAATTATTTTGTCTCTCTAAAAAGCTTACAAAGTTCTTTTTCAAAAAGTCATTAGGAGCTTTTTATATAATCTGCAATTAACTTAAGATTACTCATACAGAATATCCTTACTTGAAATACTAATTTTTAACATTTGCCAAGACATTTTAGACCTTCAAGCTGTTTATGAAGCAACTGTACAGCATATGCATTTTAAATAAAAAGTTACTGAGCAATTACTAGAGGGAAAAAGCCATCAAAAGCACTGTGTCATGAGGTTTAATTAAATATGTTGCTTTGGTCCCATTAAAACCCTATATAGATTGGAATCACAAATACCTTCTTCAAGGGTCTCAGGAATTTTCATTCTAGCAAGATGAGACAGTAAAAGAACTCTGGCCTTTAGACTATATGGGCAGGTAAGTGGAGGTTCATTCTTCTTTAAATTAATGCTGCCAATTTCTCTGATCAACTGAAGTAAATAAAATAATTATTCAAAATATATACATAAAAAGCATTCACTTTAGTAATTACTCATCAAAGAATTTGGTAGATTGGCCTAACCTGTGGTATTAGAATATTATCTGTTGGTCTGCTTGTGGCATCTTTATTATACTGAGGATCAAATTCAGAAGCTCCAGCCAAAACCATGATGAGACCTATAGAAACAAAAGAAATATGAAGGTAGATAAATTGGCTTATCAATTTTCCTTCCTGAGGTACTGTACTTCTGTATCCTAAAGTGAGGTACAACTGAGGCTGTGTGGGCTTTAACCAACAAGGCCATAAGGGTGGGGCCACCCAAGCCCTTTGGGTACTCTTCTCTCCATCACGTGCTTAAGGTGCTGGATATGGAGCTATAGGAGTTAATATTCGTCTTGCTGGGTTTTCGTCTTGCTTTGGTGCCATTCTTTTCTATATTCTTATTCATCCCTTTTGGAATGGGTATGTTTACACTGTGGCATTGTACCTTGGGATTATGTAATTTGTTTTTAGGTTATTTTGTTCGTTTGTTTGTTTATTTGAGACAGGGTCTCACTTATGTAGTGAGACTGACCTGGAATTCACTGTGTGATCCAGGCTGGTCTCGAACTCACAGTGATCCTCCTGCCTCAGCCTCCCGAGTGCTGGGATTACAGGCGTGTGCCACCATGCCTGGCTTGTTTTTGGTTTTTGTTGTGCTTGAACCCCCTTCCCCAAGAAGATCACCACTCACGTATGCAACAAGAGCACTTAACACAGCATGCAGTGGGTCTGCCAATCAGAGATTGGAGAGCCCGAAAAGCAATTTCAAGCCGCTTTTATAGGGTCTGGGATACATTAGCCTTATTAACAAGCTTTACCTCTATTATGATTGGTAAGATTTTACATTTAAATCCTATTGGCTATTGTTGGGGTGGTGAGCTATCCGGGGTGGCCGAGTTTCAAGGTTGTTATAGGAGATGGCCGAGTTACAAGATTGTTACAGGGTGGCCAAGTTTTAAGGATGCCAGGTGGTCTTATCTAATGATTTTACACATTCTGTTGTTTTCTCAGGAACTAGTTTGCTTTGTTTGGCAGTGACAAGACGATTGGGTTCATTTTTAGGTTAGGCCCAGTATGAAATGGAGCCTTTTATTACAATATGGAGTTACTCTGGCCTCCATAACTATATATAAACCCTGGCCCACTCTGGCACTGTTTCACATCAGGAACTAAGCAATTCTGCCACAATATTTCTGCCTTGGAGCCAGCTGACCATGGATTGAATCCCTTGAAACCATGAGTCAAATTAAGCCTCTCTTCTTTAAAGTTGTAGGTGTTGGCTACTTGCCCAAGGAATAGGAACCCAAGTAACAAGTCTCTTTCTTATTACCAATAAAATTAGTAAAACTAGCAAATCCCAAACACAGCTATGTCCATTTCCATTTCAGAAAAAAAAAAAGCATTTTCCAGAGAAAGAATTTTTAATTTACGTTGTGTCTTTACGAAGGAAAGAGGAGTATTTATGATTCGGCACAGCAGTCATTCTGAAAGGCAAAACATATCCTGAAACAAACTTTACAAAGTTAGTTTGATGGGATCAAAGAAAGTAACTTAAAAGTATTTAGGATGGTAGTTTTGTTCCTCATAATAAACATTTAAATAAGATCCTGAGAATTAAACATTCTCAGTTTTCTTTCAACATACCCAAGACTTCAATTCTTACAACATTTAATACAATAGAACATAGTGGTTTAGGGGTTGGGAAACAGAATGCCTGAGTTCAAACTTGAATGTATCATTTACTATGAAGCCTATTCTTTCCCTTAGTTTCCTCATCTATAAAATGTGCTTAAAAATAGCATCTACTTACGGAGCTAATCGTAAGGATTAAACAAGATAATACCTGAAATGCAATGATAAATGTTGACTAGTATAAAATTTGCACATATGAAACTCAGCCACAAAATGTCTAGTAATCTACATAACTGAATAATGTAAACACAAATCAAGAAATGTGATAAAGAGTATAAACATTTTTCTCCATTATTAGTTATAAGAACTGATCATCTGTGAAACTAAAATAGAATCTTTTCAGTAGAGGTAGGAAATATACATCAACCCCACAAAAAATAATGAAACTTATAACACAGTTACTTTAGTATACTTACGTTTCATGTCCATATTTCGGGTTTTATAAACAAAGTATGTATAAATTTGTGTTGTGCGTATTAAAATCTGGTCTCCACTATAACGTATCGAGCGATACCACCAAGAACCCTAAAACACAAATAAGATTAAACAAGAAATAAAACATGAAAAAAATAATGTTTAGTTTGATGCAAAATATGTTTATGGGCAAATTTACCAAATATTCATAAACCAGAAAAACATTTGAGCTTCATCTATAGTACTTTTTTGTTGTGTATTTCAAATGATTTCTTTAGCAAACACATATATTGCCTAAAGTCTAAACACCAAGCTGAATTATTTCACGTGTGATTAAAGACTTAGCTTTCAGTAGAAACTCTTTAAATATAAAACAGGAATAAGAATATCCATTACTATGAATAATATGGTCCCTAACACACAACACTTTTCTTTTATTTTGTTTTGCTGTTGTTTTCTGTAGGTCTAGGGTTTAACCCAGGACCTTTGCACTAAGCTATAGTCCCAGCACTTATTTTTTATTTTGTCTTGCTTAGTTGCCTACATTGGGCTTGAACTTACTATCTTCTTACCTCAGCCTGTCGAGCACCTGGGATTATAGGCTTGCACCTGTGCCCAATTCACACATCACATCTTTACTACATTTTTTGATAAAAGTGGGAGCAATTTCAACAGCTGACACAATACTTTCACTCACATTAATTCACATGATTGGATCTCAGACAACAATCCTATGAAGAAGACAATATAGGCTGACTACTAGCTTCACACTTTAGGATCCAGATGAATTCCAGGATCAGAAAGAACACAAGTCACAAAAATAATAAATGGCAAAAATCATAAACTTTATGGTATTTCCATATTATGACACTATACACTGCATCAGTTCTTCAAAAAGTATGTTTATGTTTATGTATGGAAATGCATAGAAAAAATTGAAAGAAGAAACAACAAATTTAGCAGTGATCACCTCTGAGAGAAACTGAGGACAAAAGAATTTCATTTTAAAATCTAAGCATATCCATATTATCTTAGCTATGTGCTACTTCTGGAATAGAAAGATAATGCTTTCACATTCTCAAGCAATATCACCTTTAGAAGATCTCTAAAGTATAGCCAAGACTTTTTAAATCAAGGATTAATAGACTACATTATAATATAAATTAAAATCTTACAGGGAGACTTCAAACATGTCTTTAAAAAAAAAAAGAATTTGATAAAGCTAAAACTTACCACAACAACTGGAAGGATGACCATAAATGCCAAGCCATATACAAGTAAAACCTAGAATTGAAGAGGAAAATAGTACAACTTTCATCAGGCAAGTTACAACAATATCCATGAACACTTACTTTAAGGATTACAATAGGGAAGCACTATTAAAAGCACTCCTCATGTATAACCTTGTTTAATTCTTATTATCAAACTCTGAAGAAAGTACTATTATGATTTTTCTTTGCAGGTACACTACCCATAGTGTAATGGGTTACACAGATTTTCCTAGGTTCACACAGCTACTAGTAGAGCTAGGATTTGACCTCTAAAGCCCATGCGCTCTTATCTAATATTATAAATTATCTATTAATTTGCTATTGACTGATATGATATAAGCAATAGCAAAACAACTGTATAAATTGTTTCCCTTCAATACATACCTTGCAATTGTTAGTGCTCAGAAATAAATGATACAAGAAGCCCTAAGACAAACTAGTTCCTCTGCCTATCAAGGCACCACTTTCTAATTTGCTGTTTGCTGTTAATTTCTATCGATTGTACTTCTACTGCTTGATCCTAAATCCGGTAGCTATAATTGTCTCTATTACTCTCAGAGTAACACTAACCATGATAAATGCACCTATAATAGGCAACTATAAACTCCAAAAGACAGCTAATTTTAATATGCTATAAAATAGTAACTTTCATAAAAAATTACAGTCAGATTTTATGAATGTTGTTTCTATTGCTTCAAAGATAGCTCTTAGACAATAATTTCAAGAAAGTTCATGTAGGGAATCACCTATTCCTGAATAAGAGATTAAGATAATGTCTGAGGTTTTAGGATTACACCAACTATCAACTGAAGTCTGATGTCCTACTGCCTCTGAAGTACCATATGAAATATATAACATTTAACACAACAAAAAAATCACTGTATCTTTGTTTTCAAAACAACATTCCAAAGACACTGCTCCAAATCAGCAGCCTACTACTAGGAACCAATACATCCTGCCACCTTTCACAATACAAAGTCAAAAACAGTTAACAATATTTTCTTTGTTATAGTTCTCTTTATACTATACCAAGACACATACCACATAACAAAAATTATGGCAAACACATCAGGGTGTATCTTATTTAAATGTACTTACCAAAATTGAATTTTTCTGGTCAACTATCCATGCTGGCAGGGCAATTCCAAAACTTGTGGCTGAAATAGGAATGTCATCATAGTTTCTGAGTCTCTACTTCTAATTTATTTTTATCCCCAAATTCTGCATCCTTTTACTTACCAAAACAGCTCTTTTAAGTTTATACTGATCCTCATTACACAAAAGCTAAGGGTTACTTTAAATATGGTATTTCAAATATTTCAAAAAAGAAAAAACTTTTTAAGTTCACAAATTTCTTCTTCCTAAAAAATCTAAGTTATTTTCTTTGTCTGGAGTTTAGAGAATGTATAAAGACCTGCCTTGCAAGCGCAAGGACCAGAGTTCAATCCCCGGTACAGAGGGGAGGGGAGGGGAGAAAAATTTTTTTCATATAGTTTTTATCCACAGAAATGATTAATAATGACAGGGATTACTCTTCCCTCCACACCTTAAGTTTTCTCTCTCAAAATAGTCTTTAGAAAGAAAAATAAAGTATAAAGGAAGCTCAATTTATGTTTAACTCTTCGTAATTATAATTTTCCATTCATAAATTAAGAAAATTAAAATATTCCTTCAATCTAGTTAACATCATGATAATACTGTCACAGCACAATACAACAGCTCAGTGTTACAGCTATCCAAAGGTCTTTGGAGGTAAAGAAACCAAGCAGCACTCGGAGAAATGGAGGGAATCTTTATTACACCAGTGGGCCTAGTGGAGTTCACAATCTGAAGTCTGGGCCCAAAACAGAAATGGAAGCAACCTTATACAGCAATCTATGAGGTAGAGGGGTTGGGTTTTCACACTGGGCAAGCATGTATGTATGCAGGAGTGGAAGGGTAGAGTTAAGAGAAGAGAACATCTTGAAACACCCAGTAGGAATATCTGTAGCTTACATTTAGGATGCCTGAATTGTTACATTTGCAGTGCAGGTGGCTTTAACAAAACATCTTAAGATCTCTGGCAAAAACATGGGGTGAAGGGTAGGAACAGACAAAGGCTTGCCATGTTGTACATTATTTCCTTATCATTTCCCCACTTTGAGGCCCTTATGTAACCATGGCCTCGTATGGCATCACTAGCAACTACAAAGTTATAGTCTAGGTGAGCTCTCATTAATAGCTGATACACCAGTTCTCTTGTCAAGAGCCTGAACCCAGACAAGGGCCAAACATCAGCAAAAGGAAGATGGCAACTAAGGTCCTGAGCAGAGGGGCACACCATGATGTCCAGCTACTCCAGAAGAAACTCCAAAACCCACTGGTTCGGGATTATTCCTGGCATTTGGCAGCTCTGCCTCAGAGACTTTTTACATCCTGATGAATGACCCGATCTGTTAATACAGAAACAACACTCTTCCCCCAAGAAAGATAGATATCCCACCCCCTTTTTCTGCTGTTAGCAAATTTAAGGCAGCTGTTTTAAAGAGTAACTGCAGCTAAACAGTCTAGTGTTGTAGGTCTGCTGTACAATTTGAGATTTCTTCTAAGCTACTGGTTAACTCTTGAGACAGTAACTGGTGAAGGCTGCAGCAGTTATGCCTGCAACTCTGGTCCCAATTCCTGAAGTTATCCCTAAGCCTATTATCAGGGTTATCAGGAAGGCAGCTTGGTGTTGTTGGGTGTGAGCCTGGACTGATAATGGAAAGTCAATGTCTCAAGGGACAATGTCTATCTTGGGGCTGAGATAGTCAAGGGTGCAGGTTCCTGTCCAGTTGGCAGGGAGGCAGATGAGCAAAAGTTCTGCAGAGCCAGAAAATGTCACGAGAAGACAGACAAAAATGACTGTGGACATAATAGCTGTATATGATGACTCCACTATCTTCCTCCCATCCACCAGTGCTCCCCTAAAAGAGGGCACCTGTCCTGCGAGTCTATTGGGTATGGCCTTGAGGGTTTTTTTCCCAGTCTAGGAGGAACCTGGAGGTTCAGTAAGAGTTGGTGGTGTCATGAAAACTCAAGTCTCCCAGGTAGGGGTGCTCATGTGCCCTACAGAAGTGGGACCCACATTGACCAACTGCAAGATGTCCAATCTGGTCAGGCTGGTGAAGTGGTGTTTGTGTATGCCTTAGACTGGTACACCAAGATAATTGCAGGGAGGATGTAAGACTCACATGAAATTACAATCAAAGGGCAGCAGATGCCCTAGTTCTGAAAGATGCCCTAAGATAGCAGAGGGGCAGAGGCTCCACAGAAGGGAGGGCTTTTATGCAGGAGGGCTTGAAAGGTGAGTTTTATACCAACAGAGATGGGAACAAATATAGGTCACTGTGAAGATACCTGGCTCTGCCTGAGGAAATCCTTTTTAACTGCAGCTGTAAGCTTGGGGGAAGAGTTTTTAAGGTCTCAGTTGGGGTGATACGCTGATGTAGACAGTGACCAAACCTGGGGTGAGACAGGAGTGGCCTTCATGGAGGCCAGGGAAGCTGAAATGCACAGTCACCAATCCTTTACAGGACCAGGACAGGAATGGTTTAGTAAAGCATGGACCAGTTCTAGGGTATCAAGGTAGGGAAGGTAGAGGGTCTGGGTCTTACTGTCCCAGGACTACCACCATGGGACCAATAGCAGAATCAGGTTACTGGCGTCAGCCATTATCAATTAGGCTAGGGGTAAACAACTTATCTTTAAAAGAAACAGAGAACACTGATGAAATACCCTATGCAAATGATGAAAGTGAAGGCTAGAGGAATTCTAGCTATGATGGCAAGGCCATCAGTAAAAATTAGGGTAAGCAGTCCAAAGAGGCCTAGAAACCAAGGATAATGTACATAGGATGATTTAAGGTGTCCTGTGAATGGTGACCTCAGGCTTCAGCCATGCATAGACTACTCAGCTTCTGTGTGACCAGAGGAGGGCTGTTATCTGTTGGTGATGTCTCTACAGACATGAGTCCCAGGGTCTTCCGTCTGAGACAAGTCCTACAGGGATTCTTGGGGCCCGGGTGTGCTGTTTAGGCCCCAAAGGGAACTCTGTGGGGTAGTCCTTTTGGAGCCTCAAGTGATAGACCCACAGGACAGCAACTGTAGTGGGGATAACTAGTACAACAAAGTGAGGCCCTGTCCAGATAGGTTGAAGGGTTCCTTTTTCCAGTCTTTAACCCAAACCGAGTCCCCTGGCTGGTAGCAATGTACTGGGGTACCTGAGATGGGGATCCTCTCAGCAACAGTCTCATGAATTTGAGAAAATCTTGCCTAGGGCCCATAATTCTGTAGTTAGACTGCTGTCTCCCAATTGTCTGATATCCTCTCTGAATTCCCTTATTATGGGTGGGGGACTCTTTCAAACAAAATCTCATAATGGGAACAGCCCGATGGTCCAGGGACACATCAGACCCAGAGTAGGGCTAGGGGTAACATGTCAATCCAGACCTCTGAGGTCTCCTGACATACTTGGCTAGGGTGGTCTTTACAGTGTGATTTATGCGTTCTACTTTCCCTACGTTTTAGGGTCTATAAGTTGTATGGCGGTCCCACCTGATCTTCAGCAGATCAACAATGGTTTGTACCACTTTGTCAATTAAAGCTGGCCCATTTTCACTCCCCATCATTAGGGGCAGTCCATGTTGAGGGATGACCTCATACAAGAGTTTTACAACTTTCAAGTGCTTTCTCAGTCCAGGTGGAAATGGCTTCCACTCAACCCAAGTATGTGCAGACAACGATCAACAGGTATTTCTTTAGCCAACAGGGTTTTATTTCAGTAAAGTCTAAATCCTCATAGGGTGACACCCCAGTACACTGGATTCCTGGGGCTGACTTGGGTCGTTGCAGAGACTGTTCCTGGAGTGGGTCAGGCAATGACCTTATGGTGTCACAAAGGGATGACAGCTGGGGATGTAGATAAGCCCAACAGAGCCTCAGAGGCTGATTTCCCAGATGACTTAAGTTGCAGAATTCTTGATTATGGTGAACCCCAAGTACTGGACAGGAGGTTGGTATATTTGTGCCTTTTTTTTCCAGGATACCTTGTAGCCTGCAACCATGAGCAGCCGCAGAAGGGCCCATGTCCCCTTCCAACAGTCCTGTTCATTTTTGCTTGACAGCAAGAGGTTATCTGCATATTGGAGCAGAGTACAGTTTATCTCCTGGGAAGGCAGTTAGGTCCGCATCCAGGGCTTCCCCAAATAGTGTAGGGGAGTTTTTGAAGGCCCGAGGAAGTCTTGTCCAGGTTAGTTGTGTCTTTTGCCTCATATTGCAGTCTTCCATTCAAAGGCAAAGAATAGCTGGCTTTGGGGGCCCAGCTGCAGGCAGAAGAGGGCATCTTTAAGGTCCAGGCAGGTGAACCAGACCACCTGAGGCAGGAACAGACTCAGCAGAGTGTAGGGGTTTGGAACTACTGAATGCAGAGTAACTGTGGCATTGATTGCCTAGAGGTCCTGACCGGTTGGTACCCATTTCCACCTGATATTTTAACTGGCAGCAATGGTGTATTCCAAGGGGACTGGCATTCTTTCAGGATGTTTGCACCCCTCAGCTGGCTGATGTGTTCCTGGATCCCGAGTTGTGCTTCTCTGGGTATACATATTGTCTCAGTCTGACAGGCTTTACCCCCAATTTAAGTCCTTCCAGGATTTGGGGCTAATTCTTGGCCACCCTGGGTGGGTAATTTTCAGCCCAGACCTCTGAAAATGTCTCCAGTAACTCTTGGGGGTTTATTTCTTCCCAACCAGCAGCATGTAGTTTCCATTCATCCTCTCTGGAGATGGCCACAGACAGTATCAATCCCCTCTGGGCACCTAGCATCAGGTCAGCAGGTCCCTGGAGGGTAAACATTATGTACGCACCCAATTTAGTCAATAGGTATCTTCACAGGAGAGATAGGGAACTCAGGCAGATACAGGAAATTGTGGATCAGTTCATATCCTCCCAATTGGCAGGTCCATGTTTGGCAAAACAGCCATGCCATCTGAACTCCAGTTGCCCCCATGATGGTGGTGCTCCTTTGGTAAAAATGGAATGTCCAACCCCTATGTCCACCATAAAATCATTGTTTGGCCCCTGTCATACTGACTGTAGGCTCTTGCGGGCCCAGAGTGAGAGAGCCTGGTCCTTCCTAATCTGATTCAATCTCTGCAAATCCAATCAGGTTACGCACTGGTGCCTCAGGTTGGTATTGAGGGCTAGCATGACTGGAGGACTTCTGTATTTATGACTAAGTGCGCCTCTCTTTTGTTGGGGCACACATTTTTCCAGTGTCCAATCTCTCTGCAATATGTACACTGGTTCTGATGCAAGGGGGTCTCATGCTGGGCTTTGCAGTCTCGGTTGGTGAAGATCTTTGTGGCAGCTTTAAGCAGTTGAGTGGTTTCAAGCGAAACCCTAAAGTTTCTGGTGGACACTAGCAACAGCCTGGGCTACAAAAGCAGCATCAACTACACACTGGTTTTGAGGGGACTTCAGGTTGAAAGGCAACTTCACACAGTCACTCACAGAAGTCTCCAGGAGATTAATCTGACTTTTCAGTTACTGAAGCCATTTTTGGCATGTTTGTTGGCTTTTTAGCTCCAGCATGTACCCGCCTGAGGATGGTCTCTCAATATCTCTCAGAAAGGCTTGTCCAGTGGTGGTGTGAATCTCAATCCAACTTGGTATCAGGAGCTGCCATTCTTGCCCATTCTTCAGGGTCCATGGATCCCCCAGGGACCTATCCCTGTAGGTATTTTCCGGCCTCGGAGAAAATTCTGCATCTCTCCTTACTGTTGAAGAGGGTGAGGTGCAGCTTACATCCCAGGCGAGCAGGTGAGTTTAGAAGATGGATATCATGGTTCAATGAGGGTCTGAGGCTTTTCTGAATAAGAAAGAATATGTTGTTTCCAGTTCAGAAAGTCAGCTGTGGTGAAGGGCTGGTATGTCCAGGCTGGACAGTGCTGTCATCCAGGATGCAGAGCAGAGGTCATGTCCCATGGATAGGCAGCTGAATGGCAGAAGACTGGGCTAAGCAAAGGAGGAGGAGTCACAGGAGAAGCATGCCACTTATGACAGTGGGGGGCTGAAGGCCAGTGCAGAGACTGGTGGATAGAGAAGGGGATTGGCTGGATACAGCACAGCTGGAGGATTGAGAAGTGGACTGTTTGGAGACACTGGCAGTGCTGGAAGTAGGCTGGCCACTTGGGCAGGTAGTGGCAGATCTCAGGATGGTCAACTGTCAGGCAAGACTGATGTGGGAAGCACAAAAGGGCTCTCAAGAACATAAGGTGGAGGCTGAAGGTCTTCTTCTGGGTCACCATGATGAATGACCTTGTCTTTTTGGGGTCTACGGTTCAGATCACAGGCCACAAACACCTGACTGTACTCCTTCCTGTTCACGCAAAATCAGACCCACATCAGGAGCTTCTGAGCAACCTCTGGACAGGAGTCAATATAAGGGAACCATTTGGGGTGGCCTTGCTTATCAGTGTCAACTCTTCATACTGCACACACTGTCTGGATATCTGGAGTTCCGTCAGACAGCCACCCTACAATGAACTGGGGCCAATCTATCTCACATAGGGTTCACAACCTTGTGGGCTTCAATTTAACTCCCTATTCCCCACTAAATCCCTTCTTAAAATGTTGACCATATACTCTAAGACAGGAAGCTTAGAGGGTGTATTGTCCATGGTACATATTGAATGAAAACACAACAAACAAGGGAAGAGAGTTCCCCAAAGGAGACCACTCAGGCACCTACCTGGCTGTGTCCTTCAAGGGAACTTGGGCACATCTTGACTAAGGTGCACCCATAATTCTGGGCCTAGTAACTTCCTATTATGGGAGGTAAATCATCGTTATGCTACATGACGGTGCCATGAAACTATTAGGTTAGGACCCACTCAGACTCCATAGCCAAAGCTGTGGTGACGCAGCACAGACAGGTTGTCACAAGGCACAAAACTGTTGCAATCACACAATCAGACAGTCATTCAGAGTTTAAACATTCCTTCTCCCTCTGGGAAGAATCCTAACTAGAAACTCCATTCTGACACTGTGGGCGGTGATCAGTCTCGCTTTTCATCCAAAGGGACTGGCCTCACTCAAGATGGGCCCTGGGGCTTTACCTTGTCCTGAAGTCCCAATTGGAAATAAATCCACCTCTCCTCCAAGTCTGGGCTGGAGGCATGAGTGCAACAGGTGGGTGCCTTCACTGGTCAGAGATCTTGCCAACTGGGCAGAGGAGTGATACCTCATTCTCATACAGAGGGCCCCTGTCAGATGCTCCCCAGCTCTGATCCAGTGGCTCAAGGGGCCAGCACAGCCCACTTCCCAGTCAGGGAACCAAATGTTATAGGAAAGTACGACAGCTTAGCATTATACCCAAGTGTTATAGCTCAATGTTACAGCCAAGTGTAACAGCCATCAGAAAATCTCTGGAGGCAAAGGAGCTGAGAGGTACTCTGAGAAATGAAGATAATTTTTATTATGCTGGCAAGCCCAGAGGAATTCAGACTCCGAAGTTTGAGCCCCAAACAGAAATGGTAGCAACATTATATAAGAGATCTACAGGGTAGGGGGATTAGGCTCACATGCCAGGCAAGCACCTTTACAAAAAAGCAGAAGGGTGGAGTTAACAGAGTATCTTGAAACATCCAGTAGGAATATCTTGCAGTTAGGATGCTTGAACAATTACATTGCTTGAACAGTTACATTTGCAGTGCAGGTGGCTTTCAAAAAACAACTTATAGTTTCTGGCAAAAACATGGGAGGGTCCTTGGGAACAGACAAAGGCCTACCATGTTGTGCATTATTTCCTTACCAATACCATATCACAATATTTTATAATCATCATTTACCTTGAGGCCCATCTGGATTTCCAAATTCCTCCCAATTTTTCCGGGACTCTTCATCTGTTAAACTAGCATAAAAAGAAGAAAGTTGCAAAATCAAAAGGCCACATGTGAAAAATATGTACCTGAACATACCAACTCATTTCTTAGAAGATGCTAATTTAGAGAATGAGAAGTCTGAAAATAGAAGCAGGGTGGAAGTGGGGAACAAGAAATGCTGTGCAGACAGAAAATACCAACTACTGAGCCTTGATACAAATTCTTGTGGACCCAGAGATTTAGTCAGTTCAAGTGAGATTAAAGTTAAAGGCCAGGACATTTTCTGAGTGGACAAAGAGGTTTATATGTGATTTTTTTCCTTCCTTTATCATATATTTTCCAAAATTTATTCAATAAACATATTTACATTTTAATAGTAATAGACACATTTTTTAAAAATATGAAACAGTGTATAATGGTACCTACCTCCACAACACTAGTACCACATTCTCAAAAAAAGAAATGAATGTCACCTGTAAAACTCCACTGCTGTGGAATCCATAAAACAGATTCAAACAGATATCCAGGAGATTAAACACTCCTGAATCTCAGATATAGAAGATAATATTGCAGTCAGTGACCATGAAAAGAGAGGTCTCTTAAAAACAGTAGGGGATCATGAGAAATCGATCGAGCAACTCCTAGATGATGCAAAGAATAACATAAGACTGATAGGAATCCATGAAGTAGCAGGAGAAAATACAAATGACTTAAAAAAGCTGTTCACAGAATTAGTGACAGAAAACTTTCCAGAGGGGAAGAATTTGACATTCAGATAACTGAGGCATATAGGACCCCAACTAGCCACAATAAAAAAAAATCTACACCTACACATATAATAATCAAGATCCCAGAAACCCAACAGAAGAATAAAATACAAGCAGTAAGAGAAAAGAAAGAAATCACACGCAAAGGAAAGCCCATCAGAATCACAGCAGACTTTTCAACACAAACCTTTAGAGCAAGGAGAGCCTAGAGTGAGATATTTCAAGTACTAAAAGAGAACAACCTCCAACCTAGACTGATGTATCCTGCAAAACTCTCTTTCAGAATGGATTGGGAAATACAATACTTCTAAGACAAAGAACACCTGAGAAACTACACAAATACCAAACCAGCACTACAAGCAATTCTACATAATATCCTAGAAAAAGACATTGAAGGTAACAACACCATGAGGCCCAACAGAGCAAGTCAAATAGGCAAGTCAAGAAACTAAAAGGAGGACCGGGGATTTAGCTCAGCAGTTCGATGGCCTGCCTTGCAAGCGCAAGGACCCAAATTCAATCCCTGGTACAAAAAAAAAAAAAAGAAAAGAAAA